CCCGTGTGGTGGGCCGGGGCTGTGCTTGATGGGGTGGTGTCGGCACCTTACGCAGCCCCTGAGGCACAGATAGGGGCGTGTGGCACGGAGGGTAGAGCCGTACGGCTGAGCATGTAAGCGGGGCGTGCGAGGAGGCTGCGCGTGCGGTGGCGGTCGCGGTAGGAGGACTGCTGTGGTGCGGAGGGGCGAATCTACCTCAAAGGATATTTGTTAAGAAAATTGTCGGAAAGGAAAATTTTGATAAACTTCAAATGTTGAAAACGATAAAAGAATCCCTTTTATCCCTCAGTCATACAGAGATGCTTTAGGTAGATGTGTCTTTTTCTCTTCTTTTTTTCTGCTTTAAATTCTGGTGTCAAAATAGAAGTAGAACTCGTTCTGAGCGGATAACGTTTCTGATGATTACCACCAGCACTGTAAAGGCTGGAGGAAAATGCTGACATTTTTGTATTTAGAAAACAAGGTTTTGATGTGACTCATAAATTTTAACAGAATCAATTTTAAAGAAAGTTTTGTGTTTCTCAATGGATTATGGGTAAACAGCTCACTTTCTGGCTGGTGAATTCTAGTAATAAATTCTGAACTCAATTTACAGGGAGGCTTAACTATATATTTTGAAAATAGTAGACTTGCTGTGAAGTGGCCATGGAAGATAGTGACGGTATTAAAATATACATAGCTTTATGATCACAGTGCTTAAACTGCTTGCAAAAGGACATTTCCCTCTTTCAAAATCCGCAACCTGTTCACATTTGTGTTCATGGCCACCCAAGTTCAATAAATATTCCTATCATTTCTGTAATCCATTATTAGTTTTACAGTACTCAAGGAACATTAGATCATATCCCATCTAGCTTTTCCTTTGGGAAAGCACAACTTACGTAGATACAGTTCTCACAAAGAACTGTATTGGGTGGCAGGAAATGGAATTTTTTTTTAATGTCCTTTATGAACATAAATGGGCACATAAATGCCTTCTTTATAATTACTGTTTACAAAAAGAGCCACTCGGTAATTAGGAAAAGATATATGAGCACTTCATTTAGAAGGTTGCAAAGCAGAATCTGGAATAAGGAAGTTTACAGTAAGTTGCCATGTAAGAGGATACCCTTTCCTTTTGTATATGAAATTGAATCTGTCAAACAGCTGGCTTATATATGATTGTCCCATTTCCTCTTTTTTCCTTCAAAATGTTGCATTCATTTTTCCTGTCTCATGGACTGTTTTTAACAAAAGACAATCTTGAAAAGTAAAAACCAAAATAAAATCTCATTTCTTGTGTACTGCAGGCACTAGTGGAGGAATAACAGATTTTGGCGTATGCTATCTAGAAAGTGGAGAGTTTTATAGGGCACTGTCTAAATTGGAGCTCTTCTACTTGGTAAAGAGAGTGTTACGTTAAAAATACTTGCCTTAGACCTCAGCCCATGTTCAGAAGTTTGGTGAACCTGGACTGCAGCTTGTTTGTACAGCTGGGAAGCCATCAAACCTCCCTTGTCCCAGCTGGCTCCTCTTGTTCACCCCAGCAGCTGTGCTCTGCCCCCAACCATCCTCCTGACCCTCGGCCCTCCAGCAAGTACGGGCTGTGAGTGAGGGTGGCTTCTTCTAAGAGATATGAGTTCATCAAGATAAAATTTCTTATTTGTTGGGGTGTGTTTATTTCTGGCTGAGGGTCCAAGCAGCAGGACTCCGGACTGCTGGGGGAACCAAACTGCAGGAGCTGTGTAGACCCGTGAAAGAGGATTTTTGTGTTGTTTCTATTTACAAGTGCATCTTATCAGTAGGGCAGCTGAAGGGGAATACTTTGACAGCTGCTGTTTGAATTTATTTGATCTGAGGGATTTCAGTTTAATGTAATTGCTCAGACTTTAAGTAGGTGAATAGAAAATTAAAGTGTTTTCTGCCTTGCTCCATCTCATACCAAGTTAACAAATGACATGGAGAAGACTTGCCATGCTGCTATTCTGCATCCCTTCTGTAGGTCCAGCCACCGCCTTCCTCCCCACCCAATAATAAATAGTGAAAGAAGCTGGTTTTAGTAGTGTAGTAGCAGTTTTTCCTCACTTAAGGTAACTTCACATACCTTTGTTAAAGAATGGCGACAGATACCGTCTTTCTTCTTCCTTCCTAATATCTACCAGAATAAGGATCAACTCCAGAGCTTTACGTTATTCTGACATAAATACTTAAAAAAGATAATTTTCCTTTATTGCATTATTCACACCAGACCACGCTTACACATGTCTTGTTCATTGGTTTGGTATTCCTGAGGGTTCAGGTCTTGGCTCTGGTCTCTCAGTGCTGGCTGTTTTTGAAATTTATCTTTCTATGCCTCTGTCAGATGAGGACACCGATATCAGTGCAGTAACAACCCACCACCTGGGACTGCTGTGGTGCCACAACACTCTTCTCTGTTCTGCTCCCTCTGGGTAGAGAAAAAGAGAGGTTTCCATATTCTAGGTGAGGGCTCTGGTCTCATAAATTCAGGAAATGTGGGTGATGATGATGTCCCACCTCATCTTGCTCTCCAGCCCCAAATCCTATGGAAAATCCAGCCAAGATTATACTGCACTTTTGAATAAAATAACTTCAAATAAATGCAGTGATTTTATTTCCCCTGAAAGATTTCTTCCAGTTTTAACTATAATATGAGATCTAATTAATTGTGCAATTGTCAGCTGATTTGCACTGTGAGTGTGTGTATCTAAAAACTCAGGCTAGACATTTAGTCCACAAACCCGAGAAGAAAAGTCCGGATGGAAGAAAGGCTTTTGCAGAATACTGTCCGGGGCTTTCTTGGCACACCTCCGGACATGCTGCAGCGATAAAAGCTGCCCTCAGCCCCAGCTGTAGTGCTGTCCAAACATCAACCTGGTGACTGCCAGGGATGTGTTTCTTTTCCAGCTGGTTAACTGGTATTGCCTGACTAATTGGGTCCTTTCCACAGATTATTTTTAAGCAACTTCACAAAATCCCAGCAAGTCAACTGATATTTCTCAGAAGTACTTCATTATGAAATTGTTAGCAATTTGATGCAAGTCTTTAAAACTCGATTAAAAGCAAACGACGTGTTCCTTGAAGCCAGAAGTCAGGCTACCTTGCAAGACTGTTACTCTAAACACCGTAGGATTCATGCCGATAATCTGCTCTCTGTTCATCAGTTGCTAGTAGAGATGAAATTTTCTGCTCAAACCAAAAATAATTAGTAGTTTTGTTTGATGCCAGTAGATATGTGTCTCTGCTGGTTTTATGAGCTATGTTTTTTAAGCCCCATGATTGCTTTATCATTCAAATTGTTTAAAATAATGATAATGGATGTTGGTCTCTCTTCACTGATTTGAAAAGCCACACATTGCTCACGTTGTCGGTTTCGTTGACTGTGACTTGACATACTCATTCACTTCTGAGACCAACAAATCTGTGGAGAATTCCCTACAGATTATTGAGAGATGATGTGAATAATGTTAAGTGTGTCCCCAAAGACTTTCAGGATGGATATGCATAATCAAGCATTCAGTTCTCAATACTAATTCTAATTACGTTTTTGGTTCCCCCCCCCCTTAAATCACTAAGGTTCCCCAACCAGAGATGTGGGGCCTTCATTAGGCCTGAAGAAATCCAGCTCATTAGAAAGTCTGCAGACAGCCGTTGCTGAGGTGACTCTGAATGGTGATATTCCCTTCCACCGCCCGCGCCCACGAATTATCCGAGGACGAGGCTGCAATGAAAGCTTCAGAGCTGCCATAGACAAATCATATGATAAACCTGTAGCAGATGATGATGATGAAGGCATGGAAACTTGTAAGTAAACTATTGCTGTGCATAAAGAATGTTAACAACATAGGTTAATTCCTTTAGAAAGTGATTAAGAGTAGTAGAAGATAATTTTAGGAATTTAAAAGAATAGAACTAACTTCTTTTCTTCAATTTTTTTCAGGCTTTTTCCCTTCATATGCATTAACAGATTGCAACACTCTGCAGCTTGCTTCCTTTCTAAAATAAGCAAATAAGATTATTAGGAGAGTGTTTACTTAAATTACTCTGAAAATTTTCTCTAAGAGCTAATTAATTTACTAATGTAAATTAGAAAAAAATTATGCAGAAAGACAGAAAACCACTGAATTTCTTTTACAAAAATATGTGCATCTAACTTTGAAAGAGTACATTTGTAGTGTCTGGGGGAAAAAAGAAATCACTGTCCTTTAATTAGAGTGAGTAAGGCTGGCAGATCTAATAAAGTATAAAGTTAATGATCAGCTATTACCCACCCTAATGGGCATTCATTTACATTTTCAGTTCTTTAACCCGAAGTATGACCCAACATGTGGAGAATGTCATTAACATAAAAGAATCACTTCAAAGCTAACCTTATCATTATTGAACTATGTAAGAATGGGCTGGTAAAATGACAACTCGTATTGAATGAAAATAGTATGAATGGTAAATTACCTCAATCAGGGGTTGTATTAAAATTATTGAATTTTTAACCTTCATGTTGTACTACTTTCAACTTGTCACACACCAGCAGAATTTTTTTTTAATCAACCTGCAGCTAGTTAGAAGTTTATGAATGAAGATGATGGTGGGAAAGTTAAAGTAGAGAAATATTTAGCCTGAATGCTAACAGAAAAGTCTTGAAAAGAGATTTTTCACTTTTTGCTCTTTTTATATTTTTTTTACTTTCAGAAGGTCTGTTTCATAAGTGCCGTTCCCTAATATTCTTTTATAAGCTACTTGTGTAATCACTCTTTTATTTTTTTAAAACTCTTCGCTTTTTTTCCTTAAATCTGCCTCTTTCTAAAAGTGTTCAGAGACTGAAAGGAAGGTCATTTTGCTAGTCACTTTTCTCAAAGGTAGTTATGGACAGAATTAATTCTGCTTCGTTTTTCCAGCACCTAGCAATTTCACGCAGCAGTGAGGCTAAATGCTGGTCTGGTGCTGCTGGCTGTCAATCTATTTCTGGCCAGTAGAAGAATAGGTATGAGAAAATGTGTAGTGATCATTCTCATTCTGCCAAACTGCATGCCCGTGGTCTTTTGGGACGTAAGACCATGTTTTTCTAAAAGGCCTTGTTTGGTGTGAGCCCACTGCTAGTAATATCCTGTTTTGAGGCAGCAGATATCCAAGGCTTATGCAGAAGTTACAGATGGTTTAACTTCATTTGATCAAAATATAGCAAAACTGTTGTCATGAAATGCTTTCTAGGTGAGTGTAGGTTTATGAGATTACTGTAAGGGGTTTTGAGCTTGTTGATGCAATGCATAGAGAGTAGCAAGGAAGTATTTGGTGGCCTTCGTATCCTTTGCATGGGAGTAGCGGAAACCAGACAAAGCTTTCTGGCTGAAATTGAAATGCCGTGGGGTGAGTCTTTGCCCTCATCTCTCTGTATGGATGAAGTTGTCTAGCGCTGGTGGACCAAGAGCCATCTCAGTGTCATGGGAGAGCAAGAGCAAGGCTGTTCTCAAATCTCACATGGAAAAGAAGGGCTGAGCTAAGTGTGACCGAGCTATGTGCGTAGAACTACGCATTCTGTTGAGTTACTTGTATTTTAATAGCTTCCACATATTATAACGAAACATCTAAGAAGTAATCCAGAAATTTGCAGTGCCAGGTTAATAGAAGCAGATAAGTAGCAAAGCAACTACAGTAAGCTGGTTGGACAGAAATCAGTCCTCGAGGTCTTCTCCTTCTCATGATAGCTGTGGGAGCTTAAGAGCTGGCCCAGCCATATGTTGCCTGTCTTTCTGAAAACATGTCTGTGTTAAAGCTGAAACCACTGCAGTCTGTTCCACTTTTTGTAAATTATATGTGGCCTTAGGTTCCAGAGAATTTGCCAAATGATGTCTTCAGCTGGACATAGCCTGGGCACATACGAATATGTAGAAGTTAATTTAACAATCTGGACCTAATGTAACTAATGCCTCACCGCTGCCTTAATGACATTGCTTAAGTTTTTAAAAATTGTATTTAATTATTCCATAATTGTTTGAAATTAAAATGTGGCTTTCTGTCATTATAAAACCCAGGCAAATATGTTGGTGGTCAATTTGCTGATGCCCTTGAGTCTGAATTCATTTGTCTTACTTGAATTTTTTCCCCTTTCTCCTCCAAGTGTTTCAGTGCTATGAGTGCTTCTTTCTTCCAGACAGTGACCCGCTTTGCAGTAGCAACTAATAGCACTGCAATATATTGTATAGAGGAATTCTTAACGTCATCACCCCATATACAAAAGCCATAAAAATACAGGTAACATGTGGCAAAGGGGCTGACTCTCTTCTGAATGTACTTGCTGTTGTTAGAACAACGTGCTATAAAATTACTAAATGTAGGATGAAAATCAGATAGCAGTGACCAGTTCTGGGGTAACATTTTAAAAAGTATTTGAGAAGATGAGTTGAAATTTTAATGGCTGTAAAGAAGTAACATCTGTGATTTGTGGAAAGGTGTGGGTGTTCAGCTTTTACAGATCATTTTTCCTGCTTTTTTTTTTTCCTTAATACTTGAAATAGCTGACTGAAAGCAAAATGTTTATCTTTAGTGTCTTGAATGAGAACAAGGCATTTGGATTGGGAAAGATCGAAAAAGCTTTCTAATCTTCTGCTGAATCTTAATTGCTAGAATCTCGGGCTGTATTAAATATCACAATAAGAGGCCTAGAAGCTTAGTGGCAAAATAGCGTCACATTAAGTAGCTTTGATTCCTCATGTGCATCTTTTCCATTTTATGGCCTAATTAGGAGAATAGCTTCATAATACCTGTTTGTGTAGTTCTCCATTGTACAGTGGGGTTCATGAAATGACACTAGTTTTCAGGTTTAATTGATGTTTAAAGTATACTCCAATTTAATTTTTTGGCTTCAGCATCCTGAGTGGGGAGGCTGGAGGTTGCAGGAAAGGAAGGAAATAACAGCACCAAAACAAATGCTTTCTGTGTTTTGCAGTAACCTAATGTCATTACTGCAACTTAAGAAAAATTAGAAGTTTCATTTGTAGGCTGGGATTGAATTTTAATTGAGCTGCATTTGCATTTGTTCTAAACACTAGTAATTTGTTGTATCTTAATTGCACAATGACTGTGCTGCATAAAAGTGAAACAAGTTTCTTCATGTTGAATCCTTTTAAGAAAACTGGAAATCTGTTTACTGCTGTAGAGACACCAGTATTTAATCCACGAGAACAGGCATCCTAGTTCACAGGGCTCAGTCTAAGCTACAGAGTTAATTGCAAGCAAACTGTGTATGATAGACAAATATTTATTGCAGCACAAGTGTGAAAAGGAGGCAATATTATTTCCATAGAATATGCAAAATAAATAATAAAAGGAAGCATTGTTATGACAAGTTGTTCACCAATTCAGCATAGCACAGTACATATAATACACATTTAGGATTAATTGAATGTATTGTTATGTGAATATGAACAACCATAGGTCAGAATTGATTCATCTTTAAAATTCTAGCAATGAAGTACCAAGTAAACATTTTACTTCAACATTTGCCAGAAATTTAATGCATTTTTTTTTTTACTAATTATATTCGTTTGCAAGTATAATCTTTTAAATGTCTAGTTGGTTTTAACTGGAACAGATTGTAGCTATAAATTAACATGCAAAAAATTAGCTTCTCTATTCCAAAGTGGTTTTCTACTACTCTTTTAATAATAACAACTAAATATCATCCCAGACACTGATTAAGAAACACTGTGACCAAAAAAAGTACAAGGACAGCTAGTACAGAGGCATGTATAGGACAGGCCTATTAATTTTCTAAAATACAATTATCTGAATATTAAAACTGTGTCTGCAATTGAGAAGCTGTATCATCTGCTTAACTCATAGCGGTCCTGAAGACAAGTTAACATGCAATGCCGAGACCTGTCCTTTTTTTTTCCTTTTTTTTTCCTGGTGGTTCATACTTCAGAGTACTAGTTGAGATTCAAAAATAGTTATTAATGTTGAGATTTATCTGACATGGTATGTTTTTCTTGAAATATGTGTATGGGATCTTCCAGAGTTGGAGAATATTTATAGAAATCTTGGGATATTCAGTGAATATGTACTAAGTCTGTTGGACAGATCTGTGTATTGTAATATTAATGAATAAACAGTATTTTGCAGGCAAGTATCTAAGAGAGAGAAGAGACAATATCAAATGGCTTTCAATCAGTGATTTGTAGACTTTTCAGGTTCAGCGAATTACTTCTAAGGTGAATATGAATGATGACTAAGAAAAGCAAGTTTATATTCCACAGTAGTCTATGTATGAGAAATTTCTACAGAGTTACACACTTCTGTTGGCTGTGGAAGAGTCCCTGAGGTCTAGAAACAATAATATTAGCAGGAGTAATTATAAGAAGTAGTAAACATATGCTGAACTAAAAATTGATTCTTTTTTCCTTCTTTAAGCCATGGCCATTTCTAAATCTTACTGAGTACAAAACCCCCCTTTCTTTTCCATAGACTGTGTATATATAAAGCAAAACTGTATTTTTCAACTTCTACTACCAAAAGTTGTTTGAAGCCTTTGTATTCATTAGAGTGACAGGAGACAGTGCAAAGTATGCATCTGTGATCCTGATTGCTCCTTCATGCTGTCTGTTGGAAAATTAGGAGATGGTGTAGCCCTACTTATAATGTGATGATATAAAGTGTTAGGGGTCCTGGAAGGTCACAGCTTCACCAGCATGTAGTGTAATTTTTGGACTTGGCTTTAAGTTAAGTCAAAATGGTTGCAGGATTCTGATGCACAAGCTTGAAGTGTTTTATTTCTTTCTCACTAGGCAACTGGAGGAGTTTTCAGGTTTTGAATGGATTGTTTCTTTTGGCCGTTTTTCTTTCAAACTTTCTGAAACACATGTGCTCTGTCTGTTAAATCTAACCTTGGGTATACTTCAGGATTCTTGGAGTCTTGGTCTTGAATTAGAAACAGAGAAGGAATGTGTTATCTGCCTTTAAAGTATTTTACTTGTTCCGCTGGATGGAATCTCCCCACCCGAACCTCCCAGACTGCTCCATCTCAACCAAGAATAAAAAACTTGGTGCATGATGTGTTTTAAACTGCTCCAGGAAATGAAGTAGTGTGACAAAACCATTATGTTACTTGTAGCAGCAGAAAAAGTCTATTAAGGCTTGTATTGAGGGTTAAGAGTCCTTAATGACTTTCATATTTTTATGATAGTATTACTAAGAATTTACTGACAAGGCATGCTGCACTGCTGTTGTTTCTTCTTGCAGATATTTCTAAAGCTCTCCTCAGCTGATTCAGATACTGAAACAAAATGGGCCAATTAACATCACTTTGCTAATCCTCTTTATTAATCCATACATTATTCAGAGTACCCACAAAGCACAAATCGTGTTTTGCAGAGTGTTCTGCAAAGGTGAATTCCTTGCTTTTAGGAGTTTAATAGTACAAATGAATATTCCAGGAAACCCCCACATGAACAAATACTGCTTTTGGGGGGAAAAAAAAAAAAGAGTATTTTGTGGTTGTGCATATATCCTGCTTCAAAATATGTTATGCAATATACCAAAAAGCCTGCCCTTGTTGTTTACTCTTATTCCACTGATGTTTCTTAATATGTGCTTTCAGTGGAGGAGGACACAGAGGAGAGCTCAAGATCTGGTAGAGAATCTGTGTCCACAGCAAGTGACCAGCCATCCCACTCATTGGAGAGACAGATGAATGGAAGCCAAGATAAAGGGGACAGAAAAAAGGCTGGAAAGGAAAAGAAGAAAGATCGAGATAAAGAGAAGGATAAAATTAAGGCAAAGAAAGGAATGCTGAAAGGCTTAGGAGACATGTTCAGGTAGGTGCTTTGCAATCAAACGTAGAATGAATTGTAAAAAGAAGTTTGATCTTTTAGTTATTTATTTATATTGTGACTGTTTGCTGAGGTCATATTTTACTATACAAATATATACATGATGTATATAGGCTGATCTCTCAATTTTTGAGCCTATGAGTGGCGTCATGAAAAGTGAAGCAGCTCGGAAGAGAAGAGGAGGAGATGGCTGGCAGGCTAAAGGGGCTGCAAAGGGAAAAAATGGTTTTAAGCAACAAAATGCTTGGTCTTAGAAAGAGTCTTTGGTGATGTCTAAGTAGTGCACATATCCTTTGACAGGTCAAGCAATTTTGGTTTTTTTTTTTTTCTTAAACTTTGCTGTTCCTAATACTGTACCCAAAGCTTACATGTTACTCAATGAGTGTTTTTCTTTGCTTTACTATTAAGACTATTTGGTATCATGGAGGCATGATGAGAAAGAGATGAATCAGTTTGAGATTGAAAAACAGCATGCTCCTCTCAAGGAAAACAGGTTCTAAATCAGGTTGTGTGCTCTGAGAACCCACAGTCTGGAGAAGGGGTCAGTGAAAGACCTGATTTTTACCAAGCAGTGGGTTGTTTTGAAAGGAGTCGTCTCTCGAGCAGACTAAGTGATCTGAAAGGAGCAGACTGCTGGGGGACACCCTGCTGTTCTGTGTAAATGGTGAAACATGACAAACACCTTTGATCACTTGTGGGAAGGGGTGAGGGAGCAAGAAAAACAGTCTTTCTTTTAGCTAGCTAGCGTAAATAAATATATTTCCAAGAAGAAACAATATTAAGGCAGTGTTTGTTTTCTTTTGTATATGCAGTGATTCATTATTTGATTTTGAAGTGAAATACCAGTATTATTCTAAAGATTTATTTATTAACAATGATTCTGCTGTGAAAACATGTAAGTGGAGCTTCAGTTAACTTTCATCCTGTTACCTTCTTTATCGTGTAAAACATTAATTGAACCTAGGTTGTAACTGCATAGGTCCTTGAGAGTTGTTCTGTGTCTGTGAATCGTATTACAAAATTAGTTAATAGAAAAACTAGTTAATTAGAAAATATTAGTTAATTAGGAAAAAGGGTAGTTAATTAGAAAATATTAGTTAGAAAATGTGTTTAGAAAACACAAAATAATATCAGGTTGTCAGCATATGCCACAGAACATCAAGAGTCATAGGAGATAGTCCCACGCATCAGATAGGAGGAGAGCACTTCAGCCTGTTTGCCTGCAAATCCCACAGGGATGCCCTCATCTTCTGGGCATTTGCCTGCCTAAATTCAAGTCTGGAGCGGAGGAAGAAGGAGATACAAAATGCTGGAAGGTAGGAGATACAAAATGCTGACCGGTTCTTTTCTGCAGTCTTTGCCATTTTTATACAGCAGAAACAACAGGTAAAATTGAGGCACATTATACATGATAAATTCTGGGGGCTCTATGTACCTTGTTGGATACCATGAGTGCTATCTCGTGAGTGTTTACAGCATCTAGAAAGCTTGGGCAGCTCCTTGGTCCTCAGTTTCCTCCTGTGTAACATTCCCAGTACCCAGAGGACCTGTGAGATAGCTGCTTCATCGTGCAAGCTTTGGTAGACAGGCAAAGGGCTGACTTGCAGAGGGTCCCATCCAAAGAGAGCAGCCTTCACATTCCGAAGAGCTGGCTCGGTGTGGGGCTCGTCGGCTTCTCTCTGCCCTCCAGCCTTAGAGCATAATGTCTGGTGTTCTGCGTGGCTTTGAATGCTCTAGATGGAAACGAGTGCGAAAGTGGAAATTAATACCATTTTTAATCAGGTGCTCCCAGCTAAATAGGAAGTAACCTTGTCTGTATGCTTGCTATAACACTTCTGAAATCTTTAATCTGGAAACAGCAGTAGTTTGACTGATAGAAAGATCTGATGATTGCTTTGTTGTTTGCTCTTCATAACAGTCAACGTTTCCTTGAGTTATTTTTTTTCCCTCGCTGCCATTTCTGAGTGAACTTTACTTTTCAGTCTCCTTTTAATTAACGTGGGAGCAGTGCTATCCAGATGCAGTTGACTCCTCCTGGATCTGTAAATTAGCTTGCACCTTGTCAGCCCACCCAAGAGAGGTGCTCCTGGCAAGCAGGAAAATGCTGATTGAGGGAATTAAGCATTATGCCTCATTTCCACTCAGTGCTTGATTTCCTTTGTTGACAGGCTTCTCAATAATGTTTGAGATGGGCTTCACTCTGTCTGCAAGATAAGCTACTACTACTGCCTATAACATGCTTTGTTTTTCTGTACATCTGACATATATCATAGATATCAAGTAATCACTGAAAGAAGTTGTGCGATAGAAAATAATGATGACAGTAACATTTAAAATTCAAGCCATGATCAAAGCATAATTGGATGTTTTGGTTCTGTGCAACATTGTGATTTCTTTGTACTTCTTCTTTTCTCCTTTTTCACTTTTTTTCTTCCTTTTCAGTGCTCTTATCTTAAAATAATCTTTCTTCATTAGGTTGTATGGGCAAGAACACTTGCAGGATGAAATTACTGTTAACTGACACTTTATTCTAATGTCTATACTTAGCCAAGGGGCTTTTTATTGCCTGTATGCAAACTGGCAGCTCATAAAGTGGAGTCTATGTGATGTATAAAAATAAGTCTCCTTGCCTTCAGTTAAAATCTTAGGATTTGCTACTGGGATCTTCATTAAACTGCACTGTGAGGTGGAAACTCCCACTAGAGAACCCTAGGTTACATTTATCCTTCAGCATCTAGTCATCATTTCCAAGAAATCCCTGGATGATTCAGATAGCAGGTTAAAATCATAAATAAATCTTTTAAACACTTCCGTTGTTTTACGGCTCATATCAAACAGTAAAGAGGATTGACATAACCATGAAGGAGAACTGTAAAACGCAGGGTGCAGTCTGCGTGGCTCTGACACGCACAGCTTCCCTTATTTCCGGGGGACCTTTGCTGACATTGGGCTGTGGACAGTCTGAGAGTTAACCCTTCTCACTGTGAAATACATCTGTCTGAGTACGTGTGTATTTCTTTTTTCAAATTGACATTTCAGGGCAGAACAGAATAATTTATTTAAATTTGTCATTTGGCTGAGAAGTCTCTTTCTCTTCACGGATGAATATAGGGCAGAAGTTAACCTAGAAAAGTGTTGAACAAAAATACTGGTCTATTGGAGGAGCTGCAGGTGCTGCAGTGCTTTGCTTACACCTGAATGTATTTGTTTTACCTGAATAGTTGCATCATTCCTGTCTTTCTTATCCCTTCAGTAGGATTGTGTGCCATGTCCTGTGGCTGTCATCACATACCAAATGAGAGGCTGCACAGTTCCTTCTTCTCGATTGCTGGCATTTAAGAGGTGCCTGGATGGCTATTGCCAGCTGAGCAAATAGTTTTTTGGGAAGCTGATATGAAGTTCTACTAGTTTTTCTGTTTCACTACTAAGAAGGCTTGAGTGGATGTATGTTTTGCCATCAGAAGCTTATAAAAACCTGTATGCTTCTCCAAGTGCAATCTAAAATATGTTTACTCATTTCTGAGTCTGATTTTGTTTATTTTTAAGTAGAGATTTTGCTTCTTGATAAAAATCAACCTGACAAAACCAATCAGTTGATAAATAAGTCATTGTAGTACTCCCTTAAGAAAGAGGCTTCACAGTTTCAAACAGTGCACCTGTAATTAGTGCTGGTAGGGATACATTAATTTGATGGACTTCTATGTCGTGCCATTCTTTGACATTCTTCTCCTGAGAGAGAAAAGTTGTATATGCCCTCTTCTTTTCCCCTCCTTTTGCCCCTGTCATGTACAGGGTGTTTTCATTTATGAAAGTGGATTCCCTCAGGATGTAAGGTAGGGAGATGTGAGATTGCTCTTATTTGTAGGTTTTGGATGCTGATGGAGTGACACATCTGCTGTGGTGCTGGTGATCACTTACGATCCCTGTATTTCATTCGTGCTTATTCCCAGTGTAGAAGCTTGGATATAGTTTATAGATGGGTGACTGGACTGGTGAAGTAATAGGCAACTGAAGTGATAGCTCCACATCTTTCCCCAGCTTCTTCAAGCCATATATAATTTTCCTCTATGGTCATCCCTGAACCATGGTTCTGTAAGACGGTAGCATCACTGTGATTATGTCACTTTTTTGGGGAATTAATTTTGTGTGCAAGAAAGGAGGCAGCTACACTCTTACTGGGGAGTTTGTATGGGAGGACTCTCATTGGTGAGTTTTATGATAGAAGAAATATGTCCAGCAAGGGATCAGTCTCAAGAAAGGATGTGTCTGAGGAGTAACATCTTTAGAAGGAACTGAACTACCAAGATGTTGAGAATAAGCAGCTCTCCATTTCCAAAGGGAGGAAGGGGAGTAGTAGGGAGGCCAAGCTATCTAGTCATGTCTTGCCAGAAGTATCAGAGGGACTGTCACTGCCCGGTAATAAAAACCTGCTGAAACAAGTAGACCTTGATATGATCGGATAAAAATGGATTTGCAAATACAAATGGTATGTTTGAGTTTATGTGGAAAACTGCTGAGGAGAACAAAAGATGGAGGGGTATGCACACTGTATCTTAAACTTGAGTTTAAGCAAGAAAATATCTGCATTGGTTTTGGAGGTTGCTTTTGAAATAAACATAATGTAATTTGAAGCAACTGTGCATAAGCATATTATATAAAATAAACACATTTTCTACTGTGGGATTTAATACCTCAGTCCCACATAAACATAACTTTTCAGTGGAGAACATAAGAACTGCATATTGAAGTTCATGGAATAAGACAGTATACTTAAAATTAATCATGTGCTTAGGTGGTTTTAGTACTGGAGGCTGTGTATTTCAAGATCTGGCCTGTAATGTAGATGGAGATGTAAAGCCATAACGTATGGTAGCTGATCTTTAATTCCTCTCTTAACTGTTGTAGCATACAGGTGGGTAAATCAATGCACTGGATAGCCAAATAATCCTAATTAGATTTAATTACATTTATAATGATTACTGGGA